TCTTTTCAGCCATTCTGCCCTTGATCGTTGTTTCCATTTCAATTCTTCAAGCACCAATATTTCATCCAGTTCTTTCTCTAGGGCATCTCTCTGTTGAACTATAGCTTGAGTCATTTTCATTTTGTTATTGCGTCCCAGTATCCTCTCTATTTCCTTTCTCTTGTATCTTAAGCTTCCAAAGGTTACTTTGCTCCAATTCTTCAAGGTTGCCTCGCACTCCTTAATTCTTTCCATGACCGATCCATTTCTTGCTTTTTTCCACCCCTCATCCACCACTCTTTTAATCTCCTGATGGCTTTGCCAATAGGCTTCATATCTAAAAGATGATCCCCACTTTATCTCTGGCTCATTAATTTGAGTCACCAGAAACAATGGGTTATGATCTGAGCCACATCGATTCAGGTGGTAGACCCTTGCATCTGGGTACAGGTTCATCCAGTTATTTGTCGCCACCATCCTGTCTAACCTTTCCTCCAGGAAGGTATCATCCTTATGGTTGTTATCCCACGTGAATCTCCTCACATAAAATCCCAAATCCTCTAGGCTGCACTCCTCCAAAGCCTTATTAAACCCTTCCATTTCCTTTTCCGCAGCTTCAAATTTCCCATTTTTTCTGCATAGCATCGGACCAGATTAAAATCTCCTGTCACAAGCCATGGCAGATCCACCAGATCCCTCAGTTGTGTAAGAAGATTCCAGGTACGATATTTGTTCCTCTGTTCAGGCCAGCCATAAATTCCCGTTAGTCTCCATTCCTTTCCATCATCCAGTATTTTCATATCAATATGATTGTCTAAATAGCCTTTGACTTCTAGTTGGACTTCTGGTTGCCAGAGAACCATCAGACCTCCTAGCCTTCCAATCGAACCCACACCAAAGCCCTTATTCCATCCCAAATTTCCCATAGTTTCCCTCCATTCGTGATTCATTCTTTTCGTCTCCATAAAGAAGACTATTTGGGGATTTTGTCTTTGTAGTAAAGACTTGACCTTCTTAATTGCCAAGGGATTCCCCAACCCTCGACAATTATAACTTAGTACATTCATTGGGCTCAGCGGCTCTGTTCCTCGACAGAGTCCGACTTGTCGCCATCCACCAATTGTTGATTCCCATGTTGCTTTCCACTCCTTTCACATGTGAAATTTAGCACTTTAGCCTTCTTTGGGTGCACTATCTCTTCCACCTCTATCTCCATATCTCCATTCTGCATATCTTTACTTCTCTTATGTGGTGTAACCTGCGTTCCAACATGCAACCTCTTTTTTTTTTTTTGTTCTTGTCTGCGCCAAACATTATTAGCATTCCTCCTTGTTATTAGTCCTGCCCCGCTCCCCATAGTGAATTTCTTCAGAGCCCCTATTGTCACATTGACTTTCTCCGCAAGCATTTCCTTGGCTTGAGTGCCCTGCTCAGCCTGTTTCTCCATTTCTCTGTTTGCATTGCCCTGCATCTCCATCTCTAGTGTGATTTTTGTCTGCTCTACATCCATTGTTGTTCCTTCCCCTCCCGAATTTACTTGTACTTTACTGTCCTTCGCCTTCCCTCCTTCTGTAGGGATTTCACTTTCATAATTAGATCCTGTACTCTCTAACTCGAACTTCTTCTTAAGCATTGCCCATATTTCAACATCCTCTTTCTTAGCAGTAGTTGACCTCCAATTTCTAGGACCTGGGGCCCCTGTTCTCATCTCCAGTCCAAATGGATCCACACTCAAACTTGATGGCTTAGGGCACCTTAACTTAGCATGCCCAATTCTGCCACACGAGTGGCAGAAGAGTGGAAGCTTTTCATATTTGACCCCATATTCCACCAACTCTCCTCCAATGTTTAACTTCAGTTTCTTCTTAAGTGGGTTGTTGATGGAAAGATTAACCCTAATGCCGAGATAATCATCCCACATTGTTCCTGTACTATCATCAAACCACACCAAAGTACCAAATCTTGCTGCAATTTTCTCTGCCATTTTTCGAGTTCTCAACTCAACTGGAAAACCTTGAATCTGAACCCATAGATCTATCATATGCAGGTCTTCCGGCATTGGTTTCTTGATCAAAAAGCTTGAGGCAAACACCAAAAAGCTTGAAAACTTTTCCTTGTGTTCCAGGCTTTTGCTAACGCAATCTTCAGTGATTTTATATTTGGTTGTTTTTCAGCTACCAGCCTTCTAATCAACCCCAATCGACGTACCGCTTCCATTCTGACTACATCGACGTCAGAATCCTCCACCAATAATGGCTCATCATCTTCATCCTCTATATTAAACTTGTCCATCTGATCAAGCAAATTGCCTTCTGAGCTAGGTGGATTAGCATAAACCTTAGGGGAAGTCAGAGAGTCTCCATTCTCAACACTCTCCTCCATTGTACCAACTCTGATATGCAACTAAACGAAGACCTTCCGTACCCAACCTGTCTCACGAACTCTTGCTCACAAAAGATTGTAATCCTAGTGACAACCTTTTGTGTTTGACAACCTTTGTAGTCTCTAAATATTGATCCAACGGACCCCACGAGCACGCCATTTCCCTCTCGATCACGAAAACCTAATTATTGTCGGAAAACCCTAAGGTGTCGCCGCAATGCCACTCTCGCTAAACGAGAGAAAAATATGCCATCATTGGTAATTTGACTTATAATAAGTTGGTTACTGACAATACCCAAATATTAGATTTTTTTTGTCAGGGTACATGTTTATTTATGCATAAAATTCCCCGACCGGTAATTATGACATCCTCACATTCCTCACTTGATTGATTGTTTAGGGTGGAACCCTAATCATGATCACATGGAAGCCTTTATGTTTAAGCAAAAAGAAAACACAACCCCTAATTCTATAACTCTGCATTGCCACAAAAGTGGACTCAACCAATCTATTGCCTATATACAATGTCAACTATGTTCGTCAAACAACAATTCAACTTTGTATTAATAGATATATTGATGATGAACTCTGTTTTCCCCAAGAGTAAAAGTAAGTGAATTGTTGTTATTTCCTTATTTATTTATATTTTTAATTATCGTTCTGATTATGAGTCAAGGGGAATGAATTTGATGTATAGTTTTGCGTTCAATTTTCAAAATATCATATTTGGCTGTTTTTTTGTCGATTATCCATAAAATTGTGTGTATGAATCACTTGCTTCATGAATTTGGCGAATACTCATGAGGCCAAAATAATCTCGAACGTATACTTTGAGATGCATAATCATCAAATACATAATTAATTAGTACACTCGCTTTCTGTTTAGGTTTCCTTTATATTTCTTATATGTTATCAAGCCATGTCAAACTACAAATCTCTCTTAGCCAAGACAATTGGCAAATGATGATGAAATGTCACTATTTTCCCCTCTTGACAAAGGATATCTAGGTGACAAGTCCAAATCGAAGAATTTCCCCCCAACATCAATCTGTCGTGGAAAAAGGAAACTAACTCCACTTATACATACTTTCACATGATTTGTGTATATACTTATCCAGCCGTGTTAAATGATAACAAACAAATTATTTAATCTAAATTATTTAATCTCAATAATTCGAGTGATTAAGAAAATATTTGTTAAGTTTTTATCTCTAATTTTCGCTCAAGTTTACAAAATTTAATAGGTAATACCGTATACGTATATAGCATTAACACAAAATTGAAAAATACTCCATGGATAAGAAATATATGTTAGATAACTCGAACATCATTTATAAAATTTGTTAATTGTATCACACCAATACAAAATCAGACAAATTCTCCATAAAAATAGAAAGAAATATTATTTAGATAACTCAATTACGAAATTATCACAAAAATTACTTCTGTTGATTTTCTGCACAACAGAGAGGAGGTGGTTGTCACCCCTTTAGTTAATTGAGTTCATGGAGGAAGTTGGATGGTAGCTGTTCAATATTTTTTCACCGTGGATGAGTGCATTAAAAGATCTACTTGATAGAGATGCTTTTTCCATATTTTCCCTTTTTTGCTTTCTGCCGCGTAGTGATTAACTAACAGGATCCAATGATCCCATTAATTATATTTATATCCCACCATTAAGAAATTCTTAATTAATAATAATGTAATTACACCATACACTAATGCAATTTACTCCCTAGACAACATTGATAAGTGGTAACAAGTATAAGGTGTCGTACGACACGATTTGGTAGCCGATTTATTCTCCGAATACATATCACACAACAATACAATTGTTATTGTATAAAATAAACGGAACTGAACTGATTTGTCTCGATTGCAGAAGATTGTATAAATGATTTTATAAACAATTATGTTTGTTAAGTAGAGTGAGACACAAAATTTTCGTATTAAATTTATAATTTTGGAATGTGGTGTAGATTGTATAATAAGAATGTTAAGACTTCATAAATTAGGAAATTTTTAGCAAACAAGTAACAACTCTAGGTATAATTTAATAAAGAAAATCTTATTAGAAAAAGGCAAAAAATAGCTAGCCTTCAATTTCTAAATACAAGCCCGACAGGCTCGGAACCGAACCACCCTTCCACCAATGACCACTTTTTAAATTTAGGAAAAAAGGGAAAAAGAACTGAATTAAATAAATTAATAAATTAAAGAAAAGAGAAAAAAAGAGGGAAAAGGGCAAACCAGAGAGAGAAAGCGTAGGAAAAGTTTCCCTCTTCTTTCTTTCCCCCCTCTCTTCCCTCTTCTTCTCCTTCTCCAATCTCTTGGAGATCTTCCTCTTCTGCATTCTCTTTGTTATCTCTCTTTCTCTCTGTCCCTCGAAGAGGAATCATAATAAACAATACTAATCCCCCCATTAAGCAGCGATCGAGAGATAATTACTGCACAGAAAACACCATTGATTCATTCATATACTGACATATACATTCCTATACAAACAGAGAGCGACTCTGTTCTCTCATTCGCCTGCTTTTAGTTTCTGGGTTCGCTGAATTCCATGGAAAAGCTCTGAAATTTGCTATTTCTCGTACTGGGTTGGTGTTAAGAAAGCTTTTTGGAGGAAGGAAGAAGAAATGGCGACGGAGCAAAGTTCTCCGCGTAACTCTCTGGTTTCAGTCGTGGAGGACGTTCTTCAGAAACATGGAATTCGAAGGATTGATTCGGCATCGAAAAAAGTCGACGAAACTTGTAAATGATCCCTTCGAAATTCTTCACATAAATCCTTCCCTTCCATTTTCTTTCTTTTGATTGGTTGCTAATGTATGTTTGGATGATTGAATGATAAACCGATTGAAATACGGGTATCAAGATTTTACCCACTTTGGGAGGGGAATTCTCAATTCTGAGTTCTGATTTTTCTTCTTTGTGGTTCGTGTTTCTGCAGCGGCTAGGCGGTACGAAGCGGCAGAATGGCTAAGAAAGATGGTGGGAGTCGCTGGGGGAAGCAAAGATTTGCCGTCGCAGCCATCGGAGGAGGAATTCAAGCTTGGATTGCGAAGTGGGATCATCTTGTGCAATGTGCTTAATAAGGTTCAACCTGGGAGGATCGCTAAGGTATTTCCCACCTTCCATGTGTTCGATCATTTGCCTCAGAGAAAAAGGAAAAAGTACTCATGCATCCATTTCCCCTTCTGCCAATCAATCTCTTGCTTAGGTAGTAGAAGGCCCTGGTGATTCATACAATACGGCTGACGTGGCACCACTATCAGCATACCAGTACTTCGAGAACATGAGGAATTTCCACGTAGCTGCTGAGGAAATGGGGCTTCCATCCTTTGAAAACTCTGACTTGGAGCAGGTCTGTGAGATATATTATGTTTCTCCATTGTACTCTATTGTTGGGTACATGGATTTCTGCATGTAGTTACTTTTTGGTGAATTTCCAGGGAGGAAAGTCAGCAAGGGTTGTGAACTGTGTTTTGGCACTCAAATCGTACTACGAATGGAAGCAAAATGGAGGAACTGGACCATGGAAGTATGGTGGAACACCTAAACCAGCAGCCTCACCTTTTGGGAAGTTTACAAGGAAGACTACTGAACCATTTGGGAATCGAGGATCATCATCGCCTTCTGGTGGCGATGTAGATACTAATCGTGATGATTCTGAAGCAGTCAGTGAGCTTTGCTTGTTATGTTAACTCTTAGTGTTTGATCCGGGATTTCTGTGATGTTTGGAAAGAAATGTAAAAGCCTAATGGGAGCTTCAACTTTTCTCAGGCTGGACCTCGTTCGTTGAACATGCTAGTTCAGGCAGCTCTTTCACATAGAAACCAAGAAGAAATCCCCAATGTAAGTGTTTATAATCTAAAGCTCTTGGCATTGCTCTGAATGTGGGACCGGATTTCCCCACTGAATGCATTCTCTTAACAGATTGTGGAATCTATGCTGAGTAAATTGATGGAGGAGTTTGAGCGTCGGCTGGCAACTCAAAGTGAAGCAGTAAGTTGACAAAACATCTTGATGGTTGGTTGAGGTATAAACAACTATTTGAATTTTGCATTTTTTTGCTTATGGTCACATTTCAAGCAGATAAAGGCAGCAGAGAAGGAAGTTGCAGTATCAACTGCGGAATATTCTCCTCCCGAATCTCCTTCTAGCGATGCGAAGATGGAAGATCAAGCTTCTCCACAGATGAATAGGGAAGATCCTTACCGTGTGGAGTCGGGCAATTTGCAGTATTGTACGTATGAGGAATTGGATGAACTGAGCCAAGAATCTAAGAGAAAGCTTGCGAGACAGAGAATGTTTGTTGAACAACAACAGATGTACATTCAGGTAATACAGACATATTAAATGCTAATAACATTTCTAGACAGTGGAAACCTAACTAAGGTGTTATTTGACTAGTAGAATTGAGTGGTGAATTTGAGTATTTTTGTTGTAATTGTGATTAGTGAGTGGACAGTGGCAATGAAAGATATTTGGATCAAGTTTGCCCTCTGATGAGACAAAAGATCCCAGAAAGAGAGTGAAAATGTAAGAGGAGAAATAGAAAATTGATCTTTTGTTCATGCGACCCACATTCCTCTCATTAGTAAACCATCCAACTATCAACATTTTTAGTCACCATAATCTATTTCAAATGCTATATATTCTGAACAATATACCTATTTCTACCATCTACCGGCCAAACAAAGCCTAATATGCTGATGTTAGTGCCTTTAGGAACTGAGACGAAACCTTCATGCAACGAGATCAGGAATGCAGCTTATGCGGACAAAGTACTTGGAGGAGTTTAACAACCTAGGTAGGTGATTACTGATCAATCTCTTGCAGGTAAATTTTCCTCTGCGGAAGGCCTAAAGTTCTTATTTCTGTGACAGGGAAGCACTTGTATAGTCTTGCTCATGCCGCTTCAGGATACCAAAGAGTCCTTCAAGAGAATCGCAAGTTATACAATCAAGTACAGGACCTGAAAGGAAACATTAGAGTATACTGTAGAGTGAGACCATTTTTGCCAGGGCAAGCTAGTCGATTCAGTTCTGTGGATCACATAGAGGAAGGAAATATCTCAATTATCACACCTTCAAAGTATGGGAAAGAAGGGAGGAAGAGTTTCAGCTTCAACAAAGTTTTTGGACCTATGGCTACTCAAGGTCAGTAAAGAAAGCTTATCTACACCTTGTAAGCTCCATTTCGTTGTCACATTGCCAGAACCCGTTTTTGTGATACCCTTTTGCTTTTGATTGCAGCTGAAGTGTTTGCAGATACGGAGCCATTGATTCGTTCTGTCCTTGATGGGTATAATGTCTGTATCTTCGCTTATGGCCAAACTGGATCTGGGAAAACTTACACCATGGTAAGAACATAACACTGAAATTTAATACCTTCTGAATATTAGGCGTGGCAAATATCAACCTAACCCAAACACATTTGATCTATATCTTTTTTTTCTTTTTTTTTTCTTTTGACAATTATGATCTATATCCATTGAGTTGGTCGGTTGATGTGCTTCTGAAATCTGCATTTAGTACTTTAGTGTTTTGTGTCTAACCCATTTTAGTAGCTAAACTTTCAAAAATGCTCAAAAAGTATTGCATAAAATATTATAGGTTGGTTAGTACATAAATTACCGTTAATAATCGAAATGTCCTCAAATCAAATTAAAATTCAACAGAATGCCATGGATCCCAGCTCATTTAATTTCAACCTTGAACCTACAAACTCATGAACCAGCCAACCTAACCCACCAACTCAACCCATGTGCCACCTCGAGCTCTCTTTCATTATGTATCAAGTAAGTTTGATCTTGTTTGTCTCATTTTGAAACCAGAGTGGTCCAAACGAGCTTACGGAAGAAAGCCTAGGTGTCAACTACAGGGCATTAAGTGATCTTTTCCAGTTATCAGCTCAACGGAAAGAAGTTATCAGCTATGAGATCTCATGTCAGATGCTCGAAATTTACAATGAGCAAGTGAGAGATCTCCTTACAAGTGACGCTCTCAACAAAAGATATCCTTTCCCTATTGTCGTTGTCCAGTTTCGTGATAATTCCTTGCATTTTCCATTACCTCTACTATCCAGATGTTTCATCTTTAACAGCTGCATACATTAGAAATACGCAACAGTTCTAGCAATGGAATCAATGTACCTGATGCTGTCCTAGTACCAGTTTCATCAACTTCTGATGTCATAAACTTGATGAACACCGGGCATAAGAATCGTGCAGTGAGTGCTACAGCGATGAATGATCGGAGTAGTCGATCCCATAGGTGAGTCTTTGTTTCTAATTCCTTAACTTTATGTCTCAATTGGGAACTGCAAGGGGCCATTTGGTAACAAGACAATTGTACAATGCATGCATTCTGATAATTCAGACATTATGAAGATGTAATTTTATAAAGGTGTAGATTATTAGAAATACATGATTTTCGTTCTAGATTCTGGACAATCGTTGAGATTTAAAAGACTAAAAACAGATTTCTCTGTTACGTTGGAGCTAATAGCATCTGATTGCATCAATTGCAGCTGCCTGACTGTTCATGTTCAAGGAAGGGATCTGACATCCGGAAATGTAATTCGTGGCTCCATGCATTTAGTTGATCTTGCCGGCAGTGAAAGAGTAGACAAGTCTGAGGTGACGGGAGACCGATTGAAGGAGGCTCAGCATATCAACAAGTCCCTTTCTGCATTAGGAGATGTGATTGCTTCTCTTGCAGTTAAAAGCAATCATGTTCCTTACAGGAACAGTAAACTCACACAGTTACTCCAAGACTCACTCGGTAAGAAAATGCAAAGAGAAAAAGGATTTCTGCTTTCCTTCCTATTTATTGTAATCGCATCTTTTAACTGTAATAATTTTCTGTCAGGCGGGCAAGCCAAGACACTAATGTTTGTCCACATAAGTCCTGAGCCTGACGCTCTTGGAGAAACACTCAGTACATTGAAATTCGCTGAACGGGTTGCTACTGTTGAGCTTGGTGCAGCTAAGGTTAACAAGGAAAGCACAGAGGTTAAAGATCTCAAAGATCAGGTCTTTTTCACCATCTCTTGGCTTGCTTTCCATTTGGTGAGTCAGCATTTTTCCTCTTTAAATATAAAGCTAAACTCTTGGCTGGTATTCTCAGATTGCTAGCCTCAAGGCAGCTCTGGCAAGGAAAGAAGGAGGGGAAATGGACCAATCCCAACATTCTGGATCAAGTACTCCAGAAAGATTCGGATCAAAGACTGGTGGAGCTTCTCCTACCCAGCACAGTTGGCATGGTGGAAGTAGCAGCATGTCAAATGGTCATGGGCAAGCAACGGAAGAAGCCAGCAGCAACCAGGTGAGAGAAGAAAGAACTATCTTGATTGTGTTATAGTCTTTTCCAACAAAGTCAATCTTAAATTAACCCTTGCTTGCATTACACTCTTTTCCAGGGTATGAAGAACTTAACATCATCACTGTCCATGGGACGAAGGAGAAGCTTGGACCCTTATGATTTACGAGTAAACCCTCCACCAACATGGCCAGCCATTGAAAGGGCAGCATCAGAGAATGGGAAGGAAGATGACAAGGAGTCATGTTCAGGTGAGTGGGTTGATAAGGCAGTGGTGAACAAGAATTATGAGCAGTGGGAGGCGGAGAACAGCAGACAATTGCCAGATCCATTTCATCAGGGTTTTGCCAGGATCCATCCTGAAGTGTCATCATTTAATTATAAACCTGCAGCAAACAACAACAGAAAGGACAGCTACCAGCAGCACCACCAAGATTTCGATGTGAGGAGCAGCAGGTGTGAAGTAATGTCCACTGATGGTTCGGATGATCTAGACGCCGGCACCAGTGATTCATCTGAGCCAGACTTGATGTGGCAGTCTTCTTCTGCTGCTGCTTCAAATGTTGCTAGAATGTCCAGCCCCAGCAGCCTTCCCACCTTAGCAGGAGGCGGTGGTACTAAAGTAAAGAAGCTGAATACTAAGTCATTGAAGACTACAGAGATCAGGTATTTTCTCCAGTCATGTTCAATACAAAGACTCGGCCTAACGTAAAAAAATTAAGACAACCGTTAATTTTGTTGACACATTGTTTTCAAAGTGACAATATATAAAACTGAAATTATCTACTCTGGTACAAATATGTCACACATTGTCTTGTTACACTTAATGACATCGATAGAACTTTGAATGATGCTGACATGACTTCTTGGCATTCTGTTGAAACTTTTATATCGGTGTAGTTAACTGTTAGATCTAACTTAACGCATATGGATGGATGAGGTTATTTCATTGTTGGGTAGAGTTGAACTTGTATAAAAATGGGTTGTCGATGTCAGCTTATTAGGCAACAAAGTTAACAGAAATTGACAAAATAAACATTTCATTACTTGTGCTAATTTTAAGGAGAAAAGGCTAGAAACCCAAGTTTGGTCACCATATTGTTAGTCATCCCAAAGTTAAAGAGTGACAATTTATGTTGTAACTGACCCTGTTTGAGAGAAGATCACTCCTTGTGTAGTCATTTTTTACCATGTTTCTTTTTGCTCTTCTTGGTTTTCGTTCAGCAGGAGTATGATCCCATCGTTGATTCCTTCTCCTTCATCAACTGCAAAGAAAATACCTAATGGGGTTAGTTTGGGGCTAAAGAAGCCACAAAAGCAACAAATCCCGATGGATGGGAAGAGGAAAAGTGGGTTTGCAAAGTGATCCATCATGATGAGGAGAGAACGATATTTTGTGTATAAAGATTGTGGATTTGAGGAACTATCAAACATGGGAAACTCTTGTGATGATGTTTCACTTTGAGGTTTTTTCTTTTGATTTAGTATATAGAGAAAAAAAAAGCACAGACAGAGAGGAGTGGGGGAAATGAGAGAGATGAGGATATGTTTTTTTTTTTTTTCCTTTCTATTTTTTGATTTGTGGGTTGGTTTGAGAGAATTTATTGAAGAAAGGCAATCTTTTTTGCTTGTGTTGCCCTTTCCTGTTTGTTGGGTGGTTGATTTTATTGAAGTGACCAAAAGAAAGAAATGAGAATTGTAGAGTGTCTTTCTCTTCCAACTTTACCACAGTTTGTGAACTCCTCAACTTTGGTTTTGGTTTGGTGTTCTTTAACTTTTTGGTAGAGTGGTTTGAGAATTAGTTTTGCATTTGATCATTTGGAAGTGAACGAGTTGAAATTAAACACGGAAGTTGAATTGAGGTGAGACGAATAAACAGGGAAGCTGAATTGAGGGAAGACGAATGATAGTTTGATCCGTTCCACTTTAAAATAACGACTTCAACCTTTCTATATGTTCTCCTGGGAGAGAGGGATTTGCACGGTGATATCTTGTCCTCGTAGAGCAAGAAAAGATTTTTATGATAAGTTGAAAATTAACATTATGATAGTTATAGCATTGTGAAAACTGAAAATGCATTGTAAAAGTCATGACAATAACGAATCATGACTAAAAGGGTGAAGATGATACGTAAATGGGGAAAAAATGTTTAGGTGAGCAAGTACATTTCCATCAATTAAGAGGGATTTGCTGAATTGAGGGAAGACGAATGATAGTTTGATTCGTTCCACTTTAAAATAAGGATTAAAGACACATTTGGTCACTGAGATTACAAAATTGGGACATGTTTAGTCACTAGAAAAAATTAATATCAAAGTTGGTCACTACAATTACTAAAACTGGACACATTTAGTCACTCGCCGTTAGTCTCCGTCCAACTCTGTTAATGAAGTCCGTTAAGTGATGATGTGGCAAACAGAATTGCCTAATCAGCCGTATATAACCCAACAAAAATAAAACCCGACTCGCCACGTCATTATAACGCGCCATGTCATTAAAACCAACCCAACCCATGTTCCAACCCCACCCAACCCTTCTTCCTCCTTCCTCTCACCTCCTTCTTTCCCCAATTACAACCGCCACCGCAGCCTCCTCCAATGAGCCCCAGCTCCGACACCACCTGGACCTCGATCTCCGCTTCCCCTGCTCCGCCGCCGGTTCTTCAGTCTTCCAGCTGGGATTTCTGGGACCCTTTCGCTTCCCCTGCTCCACGAGTAATAATCCTGCAACAGTTGGATCGAGTCCCGTCCTCATCGACGAGGACGACTCCTCCGCGGCCGCGGCGGCATGGATCGGTGGGATAATCAGAGACCTAATCCACAGCTCAACAAACGTCTCAATCTCCCAGCTGATTCAAAATGTAAGATAAATTATTTACCCTTGCAACCCTAATCTCGCCGCCTTGCTCGAGTACCGGCTCCGCAGCCTCCTCGACCCGGGCCCAAGCCCAATCCTGGCTCGCGGAGAGCCCGCCCTCCTACTTCCTTCCACCAGGCCACCTCCTCCTCCGCCGCAGCAACGAATCTACCACAATAACAGCTCCGCCGCCGCGGCGGCGGCTTCTGCAAAATTCAACGTTGATACTTCCTCATCGGGATCCAAAATTCAAAATCAAGATGACGATAGATCTGGATCTGGTTCCGTTCCGGAACCGCAAGCGACGGAAGCGGAGGCGGCAGCGGCGGAGCAGGAGAAGCGAATGCGGCGGAGGAGCGACGAGAAGGCGGAGAAGGAGCAGCGAAAGAGGGACGAGGAAGGGCGGCGGTGGTTTTGAGGAAAGGAGGTGAGTGGAAGGAGGAAGAAGGGTTGGGTGGGGTTGGGTCATGGGTTGGGTTGGGTTGGTTTTAATGACGTGGCGGGTTATAATGACGTGGCGGGTCGGGTTTTATTTTTGTTGGGTTATATCCGGCTGATTAGGCAATTCTGTTTGCCACATCATCACTTTACGGACTTCATTAACAGGGTTGGACGGAGACTAACGGCGAGTGACTAAATGTGTCCAGTTTTAGTAATTGTAGTGACCAACTTTGATATTAATTTTTTCTAGTGACTAAACATGTCCCAATTTTGTAATCTCAGTGACCAAATGTGTCTTTAACCTTTAAAATAATGACTTCAACCTTTCTATATGTTCTCCTGGGATAGAGGGATTTGCACGGTGATATCTTGTCCCCATAGAGCAAGAAAAGATTTTTATGATAAGTTGAAACTAAACATTATGATAGTTATAGCATTGTGAAAACTGAAAATGCAATGTAAAAGTCATGATAATAACGAGTCATGACTGAAAGGGTGAAGATGATATGTAAGTGGGGAAAAAATGTTTACGTGAGCAAGTACATTTCCATCAATTAAGAGGAGGTCTAACCGTAAGAATAAGTGCTTGGGTGCCTATGAAACATCAAGGACGGAGGTTTAGTAATGTTAATAAAATTAACTTCAACATACAAATTTTTACTGTGGAGTTAGATCATCGAATTTCTCTTCATGGACAAATGGAGTCGTCGCTGCTCTCTCATCAACTTTGAGAGGGATGCTTTCAGTTCCTCTAAGTGGGCGCTATAACGTTGAATTCCTGATGAATGGCTTTCATGATGATGACCAACTGAGGTAGCTGAAGATGTAGCTTCACATCTATTCTTAGCCTTAGTTAATCGGATGTTTTGTGATTGGAGGAAATATGTGCTGACGTGGCAGTGTGAGGAGAATCGAGATTTGAATCCACGAAGTTCTTCATGAGAAAGTCTTTATTATAATTTTTAGATTAGATTATTAACAAAGATTTATCTGTTAAAATAATAATAATACTGAGAATTATTAATACCACTAAACCCAAAAAATCAATAAAAATGCATTTAAAAATGAGGGTTTTGTAATTTAAAAACCCAAGGATTTATCAAGGATTTGGGCATTATTGATTTGCAACAATCTTTTGTTTGTTGAGATGTTTTATTATGGATTCAAGGATTTGGATTTAGAACTTAAAGTCCAAAATTACCATATTATCCTTTTCTATTTGTTTATCATGTGTTTATGATATGTACACAAAACAAGAACAATACGTATTAATAAGCATTGTGTTGCCACAAGGACAATATTAAATAAACGAGAAAATTTCGTTCAACTTTTAATGTAACATATATCGGTTACCAATTTTTGTCATCCTTTTCAAAAGTAACATATAGCAACATATATTAGAATCGGGGAATAAAAAATTACATGTTACATGAAAAAGGTCAAAGGAAACTAGAATAAAAGAAAGAGTATAAAAAATGTAACTAATGTTTACACATTAATTTGAATATTTATATTATTTATTTCATATTGTATTATAGGTAAATGTGAGGACAACCTTGAAATTTAAAAAGTTCATGGAAGTATATGAGTAAAATCTGATCATGGATTTATGACATGTTACAAATTTCTCATCAATATGTGAGATTTAAAAGTTAGTGGGATCCACGGATTTGGACCCTTAAAATTAGGGGTGGGCAACGGGTATTTAGGTATATCTGTACCCGTCCCGTTTTTTAAGGGTTATGGGTACCCATATTACCCGTAATATTTTAAACGGATGGGACTTGGGATTGTACAGTCCTAATATGGGTAATATGAGTACCCGCGGGTTACCCGCGAATACCCATTTGGGTAATATGGGTACCCGTTGTACCCATTCAAATTACAAAGACATATAATTCAACCCAAGCGTATTACCTGTTTGAGAAATATATGCTTCATTTTGGCAGGTGAGTATCCCAAGATCTTGGGCTTAAGTAATGGCAGTGGGAAAGTGTGTGGAGCACCCTTGCTTGCTGCAGCAAAATTCACCACCTTCCCCACCCTATTTTGCCAAACTGAGGATTGATTTGAGTAGAAACAACATTATTATTATTATAACTGAATCATTGCACTTTCCAGGAAGCAGAACTCGTTCTCTTTCTGGGTTTTATTATTTGGTCCTTTCCCCTTCCTTGATTCCTTTTCATCTTCATCATCATCCCTTCTTTGGGTTGTAGGAATTGGTGTAAGTTGCTACTTGTGCAACCATTTTGTGTTTTGAAATGAATGCTTTGGATGTAATTGACTAATTGTCTTTAGGTAAAATGTCATTTAAACTTTGGGTATTTATGGGTAGTATGGGTACCCGTTATCCATCCCGTACGGGTAATGGGTACCCGTTTCCCATATGGGTTTGGGATATGGGATGGACTTTGGTCTCCAAATGGGACTGGGTACCCGTTTAAAACGGGACGGGTATCCCGTCCCGTCCCGTTGCCCACCCCTACTTAAAATCCATGAGGCCCATGAATTTGGTCCTAAAAGTAATGCAACCTAACAATAGATTTTACTTAAATCCATGATGAAATGAATTTCAGAATTTGGGTAAAATTCATCATCCAAATCAACAAAGTAAATGATCCCTAAAAGGCAATTCCGTTGTCGGGACTCGAACCCAGGATCCCCTTGCAAGAATCGGCTAGCTTTTCCTTGCTTGATTTAATTAGCTACAACGGACTTGTGATAACTCTTTTGTCATTTGTTTATTTATTATACATTTCCTCAATCGTTGTACGAACAACTTTCATTATCTCCTCTTGATCATAGCATTATCTGGTTTGTTTTGGAATTAAAAATTTGTATTTTACTGCAAAACTCATAAACACTAAATTTGTATATATTTTTAGAAAAATCTGGCAAAGATCTAAACATCTCCATTCTATTTTTAAAGAATAGAAATGTTATAAATATATTAAATTTCCATAAATTTGCTGAAAGATGGTGAAAATTAAAATAAAATAGTAAAAATTTGGCAGAGATAGGTTGAAATCTCGATCCAACTATGGATGTGATGGGTTGAAAATCATGCCTCTCCATCGTCGAGATGTGTTAAAAATTCATTCCTATCATGGTGTAGATGGATTTTCAAGTCATCCTGATAAAAATTTGCAGAAAAATTAATGTTCTTCCAGTTTTGTTGTTTGTTTGGTGTAATTGTGTGTATTTTTTTTTTTTATAAATGGATGCAGTGCATCTAGCTTTCATTCACAACCAAACGAGTCTCAAAGAGACTCTGACAATCATACAAAAGTAAATGAGACATATTAGGGGTTGAACTCAAAATACAATGGAAGCCCAAAGGCAAAGAATGTCCAAGCCCTACAAGGCAATATGATAAATTATGACATTGTGATAAATGTGATAAATTATGACCTCGTCAGTCACGGGTCACTAGCTCCTGGAACCTGTAAATGATTGCGGCATGTTGGTGGTCCCAGTGCTCGGCGCTGGTCAGTAGCTGACACGCCAAAACACAACACCAATCTGCGACCAAGTGTAATCGCAGACCGGGAATGCAGTAAAGTGACAAGTAATATTATCAACCCGGGGTCTAGATCTACTGCTTACTCAGTGATTCTCTGTTATCTAGCCAACTAAAGTAAGTGATTGTTGTTTAAAAACAAAAGCAGAAAGAAAGCAGGAATTATTCGGTTTTCTCAAGCAGGTAAGAGTCACTCGGGAATGAGTCCCCCTAGCTCCTTAGTTAGGTTCAATTGCAATTTCCCTGGGTTGATTTACTGTTGATTAGACGGAAGATCCGAAAGTAGCTTGGAATCTCTTAAGCTGACCAAGCCCTCTCACATAGAACTAGGGTTCTTCATCCCCAAGTGAGAGAGAGGTTCTACTCCATAGAGAGAGAGAGGAAAACAAGATACAAAGTAGTCATACTCATAAAGATGAGGAAAATCTGCTCTGGGATGATGATTTCCACTCCTATGACGATCTCCAAGGTTGATTTGATGAAACCCAGCTCCAAGATGGCTTCTAGGATGTGTTCTTCGTCCTTTCTCTCTCTAGAACTCTGTTTTTGCTCAAAAAGTCTGATTCTCCCTCTTGCAGCCCGAAATTGGGTTAAAACCAGGAAATCCCGACTCACACGGCCAGGGCCACACGGCCGTGTGGCATACCCAGTTGCCCGTGTGAGTTAAAACGCTGCGTTCCACTTAGTTCGATTTTCAGGCATCTCACACGGCCAAGTTGGCACGGCCGTGTTTGATTTCCATCTGCCCGTGTCTGCTCTCGGCAAAAGTCACACGGCCAGACCACTTCTTCACACGGCCGTGTGAGTTGTCAGGGCAGGCCGTGTTTGCTCTCGCACAATCTCACACGGCCAGAAATATGAGTTGCACGGCCGTGTGATTTGTGGGTGTGCCCGTGCGGCCTCCTTTGTGACTTGCCTCGCGCCCGATCTTCGTCCAATCGACCCCAAACTCGCTCCCGAGCCTCCATTCACGTACTAGGACCTGAAATACCACAAACAAGCACAACCTAGCGTGAAATCGGCCTAAAACACGAGAAATCACATCTCAAACGGTGTAAGAACAGGGGTAAAAACATGTGTAATTAACGGTCTATCAGTAGCTGAACTGCGCACTAGGAGTCTAACTCCACATTGACCCGACGATAGCTCAAATTCCAGGCCAGCTGAAGACCTTCCACTGCTCTCCACAAATCTGCTCGGGTGATAGAACATGCATCCAAGTTATATGCGAATGCTGACAAGCAGCATCCAGTATGATCTCTTAACATGCAACCTGCCGCAGCGTGACTTAAATCAGTGTTGACGGAGGTTTATGGACTAACAGGATCTCCACCTCCGTTCTCATGGGCAGACGAGGTTTATGGACTAACCTGTCTTTGTCAATGGCATTCCGCACTACGTGTATCCACGCCACAACACGCAGGTGGAAGGCTTCAACTGGCACACAAGGCCGAACTCAAGACTAAAGTGCTTGACTCGCACGCAACTACACCGTGAATTATTCCTGACTAGAACCCAAGTTTTTAAACTCCAGCCGGGTGCAGTATAGGGCAAGTATTTAATCGTCAAACTCGGGCCGGTCCTATGTACCCCTATTTCAATCGCTTATGTTGTTATCTAGCAAAATGGTTTTGGTTAGACTTCACCCTCGAATCGGAGTTCGGACGGCCACCCACAACCAAACCCTAGGTGCTAATACGAAATAGGAGGTTTGCGCTACATTAACCTAACTAGGAGACAATGAATTTCCAAAGAAAACCAAGCATTAAAGCCTCTTTCACAGAAAGGAAGGGGGTTTTCTCTCTACCTAGGTTAGAATGGCAATTAGATTGATAGGCTTTCACACAACACAATCATTCATGAATAATACCTCCACATTCACATTAAGCACAACCACAACACAAATCATTCAATTCATCCAAGCATTCACATAATTGTAGCTAGGGACACCTAAGTGAATCGGTAGGCTATTTCATAGCTAGGTAAAGGAAAACGTGGAAGAGGAGAGAAAGAACCATGAAGAGCTGACAATCTTCCTCCTCCTTGCTTGAATATCCCTTGAGAGGTAAGAATCTTCATTCCTCTAGCTTAGGGCCAGCCCAAATCTCCTTCTTCCTCCTTTGAATGGCACTATCTCTAGAATAGGAAGAGGAAACCCTAATATCTCACTAGAAACCCCCTTTTATTCTACACACTAAAAATTTACTAAAAGCTCCTTCAGCTCCTTTCTCCTTTTATACCCAGATCGGGCTCTGTTCACGGTCTAAGACCTCAGTTCACGTCCGTGTTGATCAGATCACGGTCTTAGACCTCATTTCATGGTCGTGAACATTAAAATGCATCCTTGAACACAATGAGCTAGACCAAAACGCACCGCTTTACTTCTAGGGTTCACATTTTGTGGTTTCCAGTTCACGGTCATAGCGACCGTGAACAACCTTCGCGTCAGTAACCTCGAAAACCCCTCTGGACGCATCGTGGTTCACGGTTTGTGGTCGCAGTTCACGATCCTGGAGACCGTGAACTCTGGCTAAATCATCCTCTTTGCCCGGTCTTTGCTCCTTTTCTTCCAACTTTCGACTCTGGGGTTGGTTTCGCTTGTTAGACTCTAAAACACATTGAAACACAAGAAACCTAGCGTAAAAACACCCCCTTTTTTAGCTCAATTGCTACAAACGTCAAAGAGAAATGGGGATAAAATGTGTACAATTAGGCCCGTATCACTACCCCACACTTAGACGTTTGCTTGTCCCCAAGCAAACCAAGTACAACACAAGGTAGCTCACAACTTCTTTTTCAACAAAATTTTTGGGGCATGTCATAGGGCACAAAACGAATGAATCACAATGGTTCATTGACACCGACCTATGGACAAAAGTACAGTAATCTTGGCAACCCCCACAAACGACCTTCAATTGTATTAAGGTTGTGCAAATGAAGAGTTCTCTCATTATTTATCAACCAACACATAACCTGCTTCGACGACTCACCAATCATAATCACTCATGCATGAAGATCGCATCATAGGAACGAACGATCGAGCAACCTAGGTCCTCACCGGGGTATAAGAAATGAACAAAACATCAAGAATGAATCACTCACTCTCGACCAGTGGGGTCAGGACCATTTGATGCAAAAGATGTGCATATTCATGCTCAATCCTAACGTCATTTTACCATGACGATAACCTCTAAATGTTAGAGTTCACAAGATGGGTGTTGTCGCTAGCTTGTCTGAAGGTCTTTGACACAGGTTCAAATGACTGGCTAGGGTCTAGGACATGGGGAAAAGACTTTTTGGGTGGTGGAACGTATTTCATGAGGTTCCACAACTTCAACATAGAACCAAAGTACAAGGTTCCTTATCTTCGATCTAGAACCTTCCTCAACAAACAATGACCATTAACAATGGCCAAAAACCACACTTCCCACACTTCCAAAACACAACCAATCACCAACCCATTCACAACTATCTTTCTTTCTACCTTTTCTATTCAATTTCAAGCACAAGAGTATGGTAGGAGAACAACATGTAAGTATTCCTAAAGCTTGCATGCTAAGTAATACTTCTAAGAGAATGTTCAACATTTATTATATTTTTGGTGGCCACTCTCTTTTTTCCTTTGCCATCTTGTTGATTTCTCTTTTTTTCTTCTTCTTTCTTGCTTTTCTTTTCTCTTTTCTTTGGGGCTATAGAGAGCTATATACACATGCCACATTTTTTTTAACTTAAGGAACAATGCTCACTTTTAAGACCTACCTCCACACTCACTTCACATTCTTAGCAAAACCATACACAAATCACTCGTGTGGAACCTCATATAAGCTCAAACGGTATGAATGGAGCTTCCAAACACAAGGGTGACTCGATAACGGTGTAGACACAAGAAAGCAAAGGGTCGTTCTATCAAAATCAATCAAGCTCATGTACCGTGTTCTACCTAAAACGAGAATGAACCTTAGACACACGGCTCAAAAAGGTTGACTAAGTAATAATATGATCGATTCGGTCAACTTTTGGGTTGTGGGCTATTCATATGCCTCCATTTTCCTTGCTAGAAACAACGAGAATGCTACACAACATGTAAAGGGGGATCTATCGCACAAAAAAGAAACGAACGACACAAGTCTCACATGGCTACCTAGGTGCTCAATCATTCATTCTAATTCCCTAAACTCGATGCATAGGAAACTGTGAAAAGCAAGTAATCGATTCAAAACATCTATCGGTTCACAAACACATGAGAAATGAACCAATGCAAAAACCTAATACATGTCTCAATCATCATGATAGGTTGCACATAATAACAAGCAAATCATCCATAGACAATGCTAATAACCACGAGATTCAAAACAAATCACCAAAGGTGCCACTATGATCATGCAAATATAGAAGTTACTCTGATTGGAGCCCTAAAAGTTTAAAATTTTGGGCATACAACTAGGATCCAAGCATTCAAAATCACACCAATCATTCACACAAACATGCATACTAGACTACCCCCCACCCACACTTAAGCTCGACACTGCCCTCAATGGCGTAAAATAAGGGGTAGAACAATGTTACCAGATAGTGGTGAATGATGGTGTTCGAGAGTGGAGGGTGGGTGAGATCCGGATGAGCAAGGAGACGGCAAAACACCACCAAAATCTCTCCATTGGTCATCTTCTTGAAAGGAAAAGAGATGAAAATCGTTGATGGTTGGGTTGCCTCCCACCAAGCGCTTCTTTAACGTCGTAAGTCGGACGGTTGCTCTTCAAGTTTTGGTCCACCCAAGAACCTCCTTGAAGTTGAGGTTCTCGTCGGTGAGGTGGTGTCTCAAGTCACGAGCTTTGGACGAATCCATGATTGAGGGCTCGTGAACTTGAGTTTTCATGAGGCTCCACCCACGAGACCACTTCTTCTTTCCTTCTTCTTTCTTCTCTTTGCCGCACAACATGTAATGCATCATCGATTGACTTCCATCGCATCCACCAAGAGGGATTGTCGATGGTTTGGCCTTGGTTTGGCAAAGAGTCACAAACGGGTCCTTCTCCAAAAGTGCATCGAGTTTGGGTGGAAGGCATTGGTAGCTCTTGTAACTCGTGGATGCTTCATCCACCTCGACTTCGTACGTATCTTGGATGCCACTTGCTCCTTCTTCTTCTTCCTCAACCTCCCTTCCTTCTTCTTCACTTTCCTCCTTTTGGGAACAATCAAGATCTTTCCCTTTTTCAATGTTTTCTTCCTCCTCTTCAACCTCTTCCTTCTCCTTCCCATTCATGCCCTCAAGCACGGTTTGGAGGGCAAGATGTCATGCAAGATCATAAAAAGGATTCTCTTGCTCCTCCATACTCGTGACTTGGTCTTCAAAGTTTCTCTCAGGAAGGGTGTGAAAGTGATGACTTGATATATACACATGTTTTTATCCACCATTCTTATGCTGTTTGAGCCTCATTTCTCCTATCTAAGGCCGATTTCTCGCTAGGTTGTTCTCGTTTGTGTGATTTCAGGTCCTAATACGTGATTGGAAGTTCGGGAGCGAGTTCGGGGTAAATTGGACAAAAGTTGGACGTTTGGGAGAAGCTGAGGAAATCACACGGCCAGACCTCGCAGCCACACGGCCGTGTGGCGTGGCATTACGCAGGCAAGACCACACTGGCCGTGTATTGGGTCCCTTGAGGCCGTGTGGAAATTCCATGGAAGCTCACACGGTCAGGCCGAGATTCTACACGGCTGTGCATTTCTGGCTATGCAGCGTGCATGAAGCTTCTTAAATGGAACGCCGCATTTTGGCACTCACACAGGCAGACTGGGAAACCACACGGCCGTGTGGTCGGGAAATTCTGGGTTTTAACCCAATTTCGAGCCTAAGGAGAGAGAATCGAGTTTCTGAGCAAAAAACAGAGCTTTAGAGAGAGAAAGTGCAAAGAACAAACCCTAGGGAGCTATTTGGAGTGGATTTCTCACCATTGAAGCCCAGATTGCATCCCCAGGAGTGAAGATCGACATCCCAGAGCATATTATCCTCATTTTTATGAGCATGATTACTCTGATTTCTGTTCTCCTCTCTCTCTATGGAGTAAAATCTTCTCTCACTTGGGTATGAAGAACCCTAGTTCCATGTGTTAGGAATCTTGATTGTAATGACTTGAGATTGATATACTGATTGGTTATAATCGATTAATGCATGATTCATTGAGTCAATTGAAGTCTGATCATCCTTTCTTGATTTCTGCTGCAACCTGAGATAGATAGAATCCGATTAGGTTGTTAGAGCTTCATCAATCGGTAGTGGTTGATCGGTTATACGAGAGTTAATCGATTTACTGCTTTGTACTGGAATCCAATTCCAATAGTGAAGTTTTGTGCTTATTGCCTCAGCAGTCTATCCCGGTGAAGGTCAGTAGCCTGCCGGTTAGCCTGCCTGAGAGGGCTTGGTCAGCTTAAAAGATTCCAAGCTACTGTAGGATCTTCCACAGTTTAATCAATAGTTAATCAACCCAGGGTAATTACAACCTCGACCTAACTAAGGAGTTAGGTGGACTCATTCCCGAGTGACTCTGCCCTTGCTAAAGAACTTTGAACCATTTCTTGCTTTCTTACTGCTTTTAGTTAAAATCACAATCACTCGACGTAGCTTGCTATATAATAGATAATCACGGAGTAGGCAGTAGATCTAGACCCCGGGTTGACTAATAGAGCTTGCCACTTTACTGCATTTCCGGATTGCGATTACACTTGGTCGCAGTTTGGTGTTGTGTTTTAGCGTGTCAAGTTTTTGGCGCCATTGCTGGGGACCCCTAGGTTATTGTGTAAACGTGAAAGTTTATTACTTTAGCATTTTCTTTACTGCATTTTCTCTCTTCCACCTTTGTGCCTTCACGGGTTGTGTTTGCATTCTGTGTGCAGGTAGTGCATGACCCGTAGCTAGTCGGGAGATTTACTACCGTTAGACCAAGAGCTTGAACGGACTTGTAGGAACTTCAAGCGGGCTTTAAAGGCGCGACTGGCTGCGGAGGAGGCTCTAGCACAGCTGCAAATCGCCGAGGAGGAAGAAATGGATGACCCGCAGAACCATGATGTGGTCATCCCTGAGGAGCAGACCATGGGGTATTAATGGACCGCCAGAGCCGCGGACATGAGGTTGCCCATTGATAGACAGTTAATTACACATGTTTTTACCCCTGTTCTTACACCTTTTGAGATATGATTTCTCGTGTTTTAGGCCGATTTCACGCTAGGTTGTGCTTGTTTGTGATATTTCAGGTCCTAGTACGTGAATGGAGGCTCGGGAGCGAGTTTGGGGTCGATTGGACGAAGATCGGGCGCAAGGCAAGTCACAAAGGAGGCCACACGGGCACACCCACAAATCACACGGCCGTGCAGCTCATATTTCTGGCCGTGCGAGTTTTGCCAAGAGCAAACACGGCCTGCCCTGACAACTCACACGGCCGTGTGAAGAAGTGGTCTGGCCGTGTGACTTTTGCCGAGAGCAGACACGGGCAGATGGAAATCAAACACGGCCGTGCCACTCTGGCCGTGTGAGAAGCCTGAAGATTGAACTAAGTGCAACGCAGCGTTTTGACTCACACGGGCAACTGGGTATGCCACACGGCCGTGTGGTCCTGCCCGTGTGAGTCGGGATTTCCTGGTTTTAACCCAATTCCGGGCTGCAAGAGAGAGGATCGAATTTCTTGAGCAAAAACAGAGCCCTAGAGAGAGAAAGGACGAAGAACTCACCCTAGAAGCCATCTTGGAGCTGGGTTTCATCAAATCAAGCTTGGAGATCGTCCTAGGAGTGGAAATCATCATCCCGGAGCATATTTTCCTCATCTTTATGAGTATGACTACTCCTATTACTGTTTTCCTCTCTCTCTCTCTCTCTATGGAGTAGAACCCCTCTCTCACTTAGGGATGAAGAACCCTAGTTCTATGTGTTAGGGATTGATTGTAATGACTTGGGATGATATTACTGTTTGATTTTAATCGAATGATGCATGTTTATTAAGTCAATTGAAGTCTGATCAACTTTTCCTGATTCCTGCTGCAATCTGAGATAGATAGAATCTGATTAGGTTGCTAGAGTCTCATCATTCGGTAGTAGGAGATTGGCTATACGAGAGTTAGCCAGTTGACTGCTTTGTACTGGAATCCAATTCCAGTAGTGGAGTTCTGTTATTACTGCTTCAGCTTTCTATCCCGGTGAAGACTAGTCGTCTGCCGGGTAGTTAGACTGAGAGGGCTTGGTCAGCTTAAGAGATTCCAAGCTACTGCCGGAACTTCCGCAGTCTAATCAACAGTAAATCAACCCAGGGTAAATTGCAATTGAACCTTAATAAGGAGCTAGGGGGACTCATTCCCGAGTGACTCTTACCTGCTTAAGAAAACCGAATAATTTCCTGCTTTATTTCTGCTTTTGTTTTTAAACAACAATCACTTACTTTAGTTGGCTAGATAACAGAGAATCACTGAGTAAGCAGTAGATCTAGACCCCGGGTTGATAATATAACTTGCCTGTTACTGCATTCCCGGTCTGCGATTATACTTGGTCGCAGATTGGTGTTGTGTTTTGGCGTGTCAAGTTTTTGGCGCCGTTGCCGGGGACCCTCTAGGTTATTGGGGAAACGTGATAATTTGTTACTCTAGCTTTTTATTTATTGCATTTTATCTCTTCCACCTGTGTGCCTTCACGGGTTGCTTCTGCTGATTGTGTGCAGGTAGTGCATGACCCGTAGCCAGTCGGGAGATCTACTACCACTAGACCAGGAGCTTGAACGAACCTGCAGAAACTTCAAGCGGGCTCTAAAGGCGCGACTGGCTGCGGAGGAGGCGCTATCACAGCTGCAGTTAGAAGAAGAGGAAGAGGAGATGGCTAATCCACAGGACCATGCTGTGGTCGATCCCGAGGAGCAGACCATGGGACATTACTGGACCGCAAGGGCTACAGACATGAGGTCACCCATTCAACACCCTCATGTCCCAGCCAATAATTTTGAGGTGAGCACCTCAGTAATCACCATGCTGCGCGGTTCGGTGATGTTCCGTGGCAAGGAGGGGGAGTTCCCCCGATCACATCTCCGGCGATTCCACGAGCTCATTGATGGAATCAAGATCAATGGGGTACCCGCAGATGCCATCCAGCTGAGGTACTTCCCATTCACTCTGGAGGGGCAAGCCAAGGAGTGGCTAGACACTCGACCTCCAGGCTCCATCACCACGTTCGCCAACCTGGCGGACAAGTTCCTCACCCGCTACCATCCTCCATCCAAGACAGCTGACTTGCAGAAGCAGATCACCCACTTCACCCAGGATGAAGATGAGACCATCCGGGATGCTTGGGAGAGATACAACAGTCTCTTCCTGAGGTGTCCCAATCATGGTTTCAACGATGCTTTCAAGGTGGGAACCTTCTATCATGCCCTCTTCCCGGAGGACAAGCAGCTGATTGATTCGGTCTGTGGCGGGAACATGCTGACCAAAACACCGCCACAGCTGAATCAACTCTTTGAGGAGATGGCGGAGAACGGGTACGATTGGGGCACTACCAGGAGATCGAGACGAGCACCAGGACGGGGTGTGCATGCTGTAGGCACCCAGTCATCTGATTTGGTGCAGGTGGTATCGAAGCTGGTGTCAGCTATCGATCGTTCTGGTTTGATTGCAGGTACAGGACAGCCGCAGGCGATGCTCTGCCAGTGGTGCGAGAGCACCCATCACATTGTGGAAGACTGCCAAGCGATGAAGGAATCGACAACACCCCAGGAGCAGGTGAACTTCATCAACAATGTTAGGCGCAACGACCCCTACAGCAACACCTACAATGAGGGGTGGCGCCAGCATCCTAACTTCTCCTGGGGTGGGGCAAATTCCAGACCACCAGTCCCCCAGGGACCACCGGGCTTCCAGAGGCCACCATATCATCCCAGACAGGGGCAATTCCAGCAGCAGCAGTCTCTCTACCAGCCCATGCAGGGGCATGCTGCTCCATCACAGCCGCGACCTTTCCAGCAGCCAGGTGCAGCCCCTGCCGCCCCAGTGCAGAATGATCAGATGGCTGAACTGCGAGAATTGGTGGGTTCTCTCGCCAGTTCTAGTGCTCAAAAATTTAACACCATCGAGCAGTTCATGGAAAAGGCATCGGGTAAATTCCTGGCTCTTGAAGCTGGTCAGTGGAACACACAGGCTGTCTTGCAGGATATTCAGACCCAGCTGGGGAGTGTGGCTCAAGCAGTGGCACAAAGGGCTCCTGGTACCTTGCCCGGTCAGACCATTCCTCACCCTCAGAACCCGAATGAGCACTGCAATGCCATCATGACCAGGAGTGGCAAGATGACTGTTGATCCACCTGCTCGCACTACAACAAATTCGACCTATTTTGA